TATTGATATGTTTCTTAATACATATTCATCAAAACATTCGAACACAGTAAATTATCTAACAAATAAATGGTTCCATACTAATCTATAATATTGATTAAGGTCTGTATATTAGAAATTTATAACATGAAAATTTTATTTCACATTATGCATATATTTGTGTACAGTATATACTGTAGTATCCAAGTGAAAACCAAGAATTCTGTGTTTAGATCATTATTAGAATTCCTGGTTTCACTTAGCACTCTCACATAAAATAATATATAAAGATGATAATTCTGAAAATTATTTTTATATTTTAATGAACGATAATTCTGTCATGCAAAGTAAATTTTTATAAGAAAAATTTTTATAATGTAAAATTTATAGTAATAAAACTTTTGCTCAATAGAAAACTAATTACTTTGAGACAAAAATACTCTTGATGCGTATATATAACTTAAAATTTTAAATTTGACAATCCTCAATAATTATTTAATACGTACTCCAATACAACGCCAGACTCTATAAGTCAACTTGGTTATAAGTCTGCATTTTTGAGAAAATTAAACCCATTAGACAATATGTATTTAAATAATGACAACTATACACGTATAATTTTATAATTAACGAAAAAGATCTTAAACCAAAATTTGTAGTAAAACTTTATAGTAGCTTCATTTGACAATTTTTACAATGCACAACCAATAATAAATGAATATATACAGTATGCTCTGATTAGTGACAAAAAGACTTGTATAAGAAATATAAAAATTATTGGTGTAAAAAAAATGTTACAAAAACTAAATGCTAAATAAATGCCCGAAAGGATAAAATGTATTATTTTTCAAAATATAAGCCAACCAAATTTGACTTTTAGAAACAATACCATCTTTTCTTTCTCACAAACTTTTTGATTTTGAGATGCTGCTGATAAAATCTAAGCATCTAAATTACAATAAGGAAAATTTTAATAACGTTAACTCGCCGATAAATTCAACATTAAACAAAATTTCAAGAAATCTTACCTTTTGCGGTGCTTTTTGGTTCACTTCTTCTACATTATGCATGCTTCTCACTCCAGAATTCCTAAAAAAAAAAAAACAAATGTTGATAAATTACAAATCTATTTTTTTTTAAAAAAAAAGAAAAGAAAGAAAAGCGCATACCATGCAACAAAGACGACAAGCCTTTCATTCTTTAATTCTACGGATTCGATATCGCCAATGTCACGTTCCCAATCAGAAGAAGCTTCAGACCTAATCTCATTCGACTCAAACTTATGTCGCTTTTCTCTCTGTTTTTTATATTTTGCCTTTTTGTTTTCCTTAGGTTTAGTATTCTCAGAAACTTCTTTTGCTTGTGAAAGTGTGGCATGCAATGATGAGATTTTTGATTTATTGAGCTGTTCTTCATCGCTGCTTAAAATGATTGTCTTGGTTTTTCTTTTTTTTGATTTTTTTTGCACTTTGCCAGTTGACGATGAAACTTGTTTCAGTGGTTTCTGAGGTTCAGATTCG